TCTGTATTGGCTACCTGTATGCTTCCAGTCCCTATTCACAGTGCTGGTTTTTAACCTATACAGCTTAGGACCACAATACCTGTCAGAGCACCTCTCCCAACCTCATTCTACTTAGACATTGCGCTCAACCTCTGGAGGATTCCTCTGAGTGTCAACTCCAAGGGAAGTGCAGAGGGTACCACAAGAAGGAGGGCTTGCTCGGTCGTGCCCCCCTATCTATGGAATAACCTCCCCAGCCACCTGGCTAGAGCGAATCTGTTATCTTTTCAGTTCTGGGTTATAACAGCTCTGTTTTCTGAGGCTTGTAAAGACCTACTTGACCACCCAGAAGCTCGAGGCAGTTTGCCAGGTGTTTGTAGCATCACCCCTCTTGTAATACTTTGTATTATATTGTTTTTGTATTATATGTTTTAAGACCTGTTTTTAAATGTTTAAAGTTTTCCCAATTTTTACACGATTTTAATTGTATTTTTATTATTTGTTCCTATGGATTGTATAAACTGTCCAGAAAGCTTTAGCTGTGAGGCAGTATAGAAGTATAATAGATGATGATGATGGTGATGATGATGATGATGATGATCTTATGGGTCCAGGGAGGATTTTTTCAGGAGGAATAACATTCTCTATTCCAAGGAAGTATCAATTACCTTCCTGGCCTGACTGGTTGTTCACTCTCTCCTGGTTTTATAAACTAGGAAGGGCAGGTTTCCAGCATGCCCAGGTGAAAAAAAGATGCTGGTGTGGCTTATGCCCTGCTACATGCATTGGGTTGATAACTTGGGATAGTCTCATGGAGTACATGAAATATTAAGCCACTCCAGATAAAGCATCCTTGGCATGAATGGCCCAGGTAATCCCACCATGGCATCCAAGACCATCTGTTGAGCAGCAAGGTGTGTAGTACGCCAACAGAATCCCCATCTGTCCTTTTGGCCAAGCACTCTAGACCAGGAGATAGATGGACAGGGAACTTGGACAGACGCATAGAAACAGAATGAGTCAGAAGGGCCCTCCCAGGCCATCTAGTTTGACCCTCCTGGCTCTGCTCATGACATGCCTGCCATGTGCATGTCCAGCCTATCCTTGAACACCTTCACTGATGGGGCTTCAACCACCTCCCGTGGAAGCCCATTCCATACCCTCAGGGTCCTAACTGTCAGGAAGTACTTCCTGGCATCTAAATGGAACCTTGGCTCCCGGAGCTTTGCTCTGTTGGAGTGCATCCTGCCTTCCTTTGCAGGGGAGAACAGGTCTCTACCCACCTCCGTGTGACATCCCCTCACATACCTGTATGTCACCAACAGATCCCCTCTGAGTCTCCTCTTATCTAGGCTGAAAAGACCCAGTTCCCTCAGTCTTGCCTCATATGACTTCCCCTACAAATGGGCCACCAACCATGTGGCCCTACACTGAACTGACTCTAACCTGGCTATATCCTTCCTGTAACAAGGGGCCCAACGAACACAATGCTCCAGTTGCGGGTGCAGCAGAGTCATATAGAGTGGTAGTAATACCTCTCTCGATCTAGAAGCCACACTTGTGGCTATGCAACCAAGGGTGGCATTCGCCCTCTTGACCACCGCATTACACTGCTGACTCATGTTTAGCCTGCAGTCAACCAGCACCCTGAGGTCCCTTTCACAAGTGCTGCTTTCCAGGCACTTGTCCCCTAACCTGCACTTATGACACCCATTCCTATGCCCCAAGTGCAAGACCTTGTGATTATCCACATTGAACGTCATCCTACTGTCTCCTGCCCACTTCCATAGTCTGTCCAGATCCTTTTGGATTTGGAGTACCTGCTCCTCAGTTGTGGTCACTGCCCCGGTTTTAGGATTGTCTGTGAGTTTGAACAGCAGACTTTTTACCCCTTCTTCCATGTCATTGATGAAAAGATTAAACAGGATCTGCCCCAGGACAGAGCCTTGGAGGACCCCGCTTGTCACTGGCTGCCATCCTGTTGATTTCCCACTAGTGGTTACCCTCTGCTTTCGGTCAGTCAACCATGCCCTACTCCATCAGACAGTGCATTGATCTATCCCAAAACTCCTCAGTTTCTCAACCAGGATATCAAGTGGCACTTTGTCAAAGGCCTTGCTGAAATCCAGGTAAACCACATCCACTGCTTCCCCTCCATCTAGCCACCTCAAAACCTTGTCGTAGAATTCCACAAGTTTTGTCTAGCAGGACCGGTTTTTGCGGAAGCCATGTTGTGTGGTCACCAGCCTCCCTTCCCTATCTAGCTTCACTAGATCTCTCACTATTATGAGCCTTTCCACTGTTTTTCCTACAGTGGAGGAAATTGTAATTCTTCATGTCCCTTCTATTACTATTTTTGAAAATTGGGACCACTGATGCCACACTCCAGTCCTCTGGAACTTCATCCATCCTTCACGAGGCCAGCAGGCATGAGAGAGCCCCTGCCAACTCTTGAAGTACTCTCGGGTGTAACCCGTCAGGGCCTGGGGCCTTTGTAATGTCCAATGCCCTGAGGAGCCCCTCAACTGCTATGGGGGGTGACTCTAATCTGTGCCCCTAAGTCCCTGGCCTCATCTAATCTCCTATGAGGATCTCCCCCATCCTGCTTTGGGGGGAACACAGAAGCAAAATAGTTATTTAGCATTTGTGCCTGTTCCTTCGTATCAGTCACTGGATCTCCTTCCTCCTTATTTAGAGGTCCCACTACTTGTCTCCCCTTCCTCTTGCTATTTACATGCTGGTAGAAACCCTTTTTGTTGCCTTTTTTTCAGGTCTTGCCGAAATCCAGGTAAACCATATCCACCATGTCCCCTCCATCTAGCCACCTTGAAACCTTGTCACAGAATTCCACAAGCATTGAATTCTTATAGCCTCTGGCTTCTAGTCTTTATAGCACAACTCCACTAAGCACAGCTGGGAGAGACTATCTACTTCCTGTTTGCCTACCCAGCTCCCAGTTATACATACTATATCACTTGTACCTTCCACTGTTATGTCACAGATAAGTATTATTCTGTATCAATCTTACATTTAAAAGCAGCTCCTGTGGATACAAGGAGTAGTAAACCAAAGCACTGCTGTTAATTGTCCAGGCTGTGTACCCATCACTTAGCCCGTCTCCCAACACCATATCTTTTTCTGCCCACCATTATGCTCCACCCAAAGAGATAACAGCTTTTAGTATCATTCCCTTCAAGGATGCCTTGCAGCATTGTTACCCTGCTTTGGGCCAACAGAGAAAGGCCTACTGAGAATCTAGTGCAAGTGGTAGATGACTGCAATCAGCCAGACCTCTGTCAATTCTCTTGACAGAGATGGAAGCTTCTCTCAGGAAAGGAGCCCAATCCAGCCAACAGCAGCCTCAGCCAGGACTGGAAGCTGGCACCCTAGCTTTGTCACTTCCCTTGAGCATTTCCCAGTCTGTGCGTTTGTAGCTGCAACATAGTTGAATGGTTCTTTCAAGTCATGTATAACCTTAATCTTCCCCTTCAGGGACCACTGTCTAAGTTGCGCCTGTTCTTTGTGCTGGCCAAAATTATGTATGGACCTTTTGAACTTCTTGCTACCTGTAACGGTTGCCTGTTTTTCTGGAAATTAACCCTCTTATTTTCATCAGACACACTGAGGGGCTCATAGCTGTACTCCCATCTTGTCACTTTGAGACAAAGTGAACTCAGATAGTCTTCTGAAATAAAAAGATTCTTCTTCCCCACACTCATAAGTACCATCTCAACAAGAAATCATCATGTCTGCATTCTTATTAACACATATGATTGAGTGCTGAGTACTTCTTTCATATTCCAGATGGCTGAGGAAAGAGCAAATTTGAAGCGAATGGGAGTTTCCCCATTCATGCTAATTGCAGGCACTGATGATGCAATCTAGATTGAGAGCACAGTGTGGGACAAAGGGTTCAAGTCTACTTTTCCCCATGACAGGCTTCTAATCTTAACTAGTCTAACTGGGGGAGAAAACTACTAACTGGAACTAATGGGAGTTTTCCCTCCAGGGTAAATTGCAGGGCTGGGAGGACAGTGAAAAGGAGAACTTACAAATTGGGGGGTGGGGGGTGCGAGGGGGGGAGAGGGAGGATGGAGTTAATATAGATGAGCATAAGGTCAAGTTAGGTAGCCATATGGCATATTTTCTCTGACAATGTTCATTGTTGGCATGTACATTTTTCCCATGAAGGAATGTGGCCCAAGGGAAAGAGTCACTGATCATTCTTATCCCTAGCTTAGGTGCAAGCTGTAGTACTTCAGCTCATCACAGACTTCAGCTCAACTGCCACATACAATTTAGAAGTTTCTCTGTTTAAGCTTCATTAGCTTCTGACAGCATGCTAGTCTGGAAGTTCTTTTGGTCATCTGTATATAGCCATCTTGTCTCCCCACTTTAAGTTGCTGTCAGAATTGAACTAAATATGTCATCTGTACATAGGATAGGGGGCTGAAATAGCTAGGTCCTAGTTCTGTAATGTTTTGATTATGTCCTGAATAGACTTTCCCAAATGTGTGACCAAGAACTTCAGTTACAGTTAAGCAATCTTTCCTGCATTTAATAGTTCCCCACATATGACTGCTGTGTGGGTTACTCTAAGTGGCATCTTGAGGCAGGTGGAATATTTCTTTCGCTAAGCTGGATGTCCTTTGTCGGATGATTCACAATAGTTTCCTTAGTAGGGTTTCAGGAAGGGATGAAAGACATGTTGTTTTCCTTTTCTGATGTCTGTGTTCAGTAGATACTATGCTGTTAGTGGGTTGTGCCCAAAGTGTGAGTGGTGAAAAACTGCAGAAAATCAGCAGTGTTCTAAAATGGAATGGGATACACTTATTGCATAAAGATGTTTTTAAAAATTTCAAATGTGCATTTCCCTCTAGTGTTATTGGTATTTGAGATAAATAATCCAAATTTGTTTTCTTAACTTATTTAGAATATAGTGTTTTCATTATTACCTGTTACATTGAAAAAGCATTTGTTTGTATATGAGATCCTAACATTTTGATTATCTACAAATGCAGGAAACAAAAATAGTGGCAGTGAAGATAAGACTATGAATATTGAACCACACCTATTAACTATTTTGCCTGGTACGTCCTTATTATGTGGTTTGTTCAGTTATCAGTGTCCATTGATAGATTGTAACCTTATAGTGAAATGCAACTTAGTAATTTGTGAGAAGAGTTTCTGTTTTTATGTTGAATTACTGTTGCTTATTGTGTCTTTCTTGAGTAAGTCTCATAACTAACTGCTTCCATGCATGGTGAGAACAGTAGTTAGGATCATGTGATAATCTGAAGGGGAAAAAGAATGTAATTATGTTCTAAGGATGAAGCCTCCTCTGTTACCGCACACATACACGTCACAAGGATACCAGTCTTGTACTATAAGTCAAAAGACAGAGGAATGAGAAAGGCTGAACTTTTACCAAAAATTCTCTAGGAAACATTGGAAAGAATGAGCCCATTACAAAGTGGGAGAAAGAGAATTCACTTACCGATAAATAACAGGTCCTGCATTTCAGACACCAGGCAACTTCACATGTCACAAAAAGCCACTCTTGCAATATGCTGCAGGACAGTTAATGGTGCACCAGTTGGGCTCACTGTGGATTGTTTACATCCTTCATCTCCTTTCTTCCTCAGTCCTCCAGTTGGCATCTCAGGGGACACTGCAGCAGGAATTAATTTACTGTCTCAGCTGTGATCAAGAGGCATTTACAGCTCCCTGTATTTTGCACTTCAAACTTTTTTCAGCAATCACAAAAGCCAGCTTGACAGCAGGGTTTTGTTGTCCTGATTTTGACAGTCACTTCAAAGTGCCTGAGCTGCATCTTTGAGAGTCTCTCAGTGACTGACAGATACTGTTTATTTTTTACACATAAAACATGTGCAGATAGCTTTGTCTTTTTGTTTGTTTGTTTTTAGCTACACCTGACAGCAGCAGGCACTTGCATTTGTGTACCTCAGGAATTAAAGTCTCAGCTGGAGCAATATCTGGGGAGGAAGGGGTATCCACTGTCAAAGAGACCCCAAATGGCTTTTTCCTGTTTGGTTTCTCTTGATAGCTGTCAGAAGGTAAGCTTTCAAGACAAAACAAAGGCACAAGAAAAGCAGGTGTTGTGATTCACATCCCCTTTGTAGCAAGACCCTGATTTCCCCTCCACCCACCCCCCGCCCCCAATCTCACTCAGGGTGATGCACATTTTGCTCTTTTTTCCAGAGGCTCTAAGTGCTTGAGAAGGTAAAATGTGCATCCACTTTTTCTTGGATGTCAAAACTCTGGGTTCCCTTTAAAAGAGGGATTTAAAGTAGGCAATCTCAGAAACATTGCGCCTTTTCAAGTACTTTGAGTCTCAGGAAAACATGCCTCACACTGTGGACTGTCGGGATGAAGAAAACCTTGCCATGAAGGAGATGTAACTCACCCTTTTTAAAAGCAAAGATTACTTGTCCTTTTGATTGTTCCTGACAGTTTCCTTTCTGACAATTATGAAGGGAAACCAAACTAGGGATGGAAACTTGTTTGGAGCCTTGTTGTGGTAATGTCTAAGATTAGTGCCTGCTGCACCTCAGCAGCAGCTTCTCCCTAGGACAATGCCCCAGCCAGGGTTTCCAGTTCCCACAGTCACATAACTGCAAATGTCCACAACTGTGGACACCTAGCTAAAAAAATACAAACCTTTTCGTGCACATACACAAAATTAAAAAATCTAACAGCCACTGTCCCCATCTCCAAAGTGCCACTCAGGCACTCTCAAGAAGTTGTTAAAATGAGGACTGCAAAATCTGACTGTCAGGTTGACTTTCATGATCTCAGAAAAAAGGTTTAAGTGCAAATAAGCTGTGGGGAGCTGAAAATGGCTGTTGATTGGGCAGGAAGGGCAGCAAGACAGGGCCAGCCACCCCAAAGTGTCAGCTGGGTACTTGTAGAGTGGCTTGCACTGGTGGTGGCCATAGTGATCTTAGGTCAGCATACAGAGTTTGCTGCTGTTGCCAAGAGAGTTGAGAGCTGCTGGACTTTACCCACAGAAGAATAAGTTGTCCAGGTACAGATGACACAACAACCCACCATGGATAAAACAAACCCGTGGGTTGACAAGGATTTTTCAATCAATCCACACTGAGTAAACCAGGCTGGACTTGGACAACAGAACAAACAATGCTTTTTTTGTAAGAAAAAAGGTGCCGGAACACATGAAATCATTTACCTTTCGCATGTAGTCAATCACTGTACGCACACCCACACACATCAGTTGTGTAACGAAACAAAACAGTCGCTGCCTGCAGTAAGCACTCAGCGTGCGACCACATGACCAATCACAAGCTGAGCAGTGCCACAAGCCGAGCGGCAACATCACAACCAGCGCGGACAAAGTCCACTTGCATTGAATTCGACACACAAGCAGCCTGCATACACCATTTTAATGATTTTGCCACCGACCTGCTACACTTGACAGGGCAATTCAAATCTACATGGACCAAACATCAAATTTTCAAAAGTTACTTTTAAAACTTGGAAAATCTGTCGAAAAAAAGGTGCCAGTTCCAGTGTGTTCTATGACAAAAAAAGCACTGAGAACAACAAACCATGTTTTGCTGCCCATCATGGCTTTTTTTTTTTTCTTATTACAAACCAGGTCATTATCTCCTGAATGCATGATTAAACCACAGGTAAATGTTTTGTCTAGGAGCTGTGCCATGAAACATTTTTTGGATTGATTTTACTGAATGGAATCCATTTTGTTCTGTGCCACCTACATAGCCTCTTTGCAGTACATTCTCATTTGACAGTATTGCCTTTTCTTCCACTAAAAGAAAAAATGCAACTTTCCACCTAAGAGAAATTTCAATTAATTTGTAAAGCTATCATTATGCTGCTTACATGGATGGAGTTTTTCCTGTTCTAGTTGGCCACTACTATATTGCTAGAACTGTATATTTCTAATCCATTGTGCCATCAAATGATGCATTTTTGAACCACTGTTCTGTGGTGTCTTGACTGGATTTTTAGTCCATTTAAAATAGCTAAACTTCCTCAAAGCTATGAATCCTCTTTAAGGATATTGGGTTATTCTCCCCCACCTCAGCTTCTGAAAGAACTCCTACACCTGAATTCTGCCTGCACAGCTTTTTCAGCTCATCTTTGCCTGGCTTTTCCACCTCCACCTCTGTATGCTTCAAATGTTCTGTATACAATTTCAGTGCTAAAACATCTCTTTATATTCTTCTTGTCTTGAATGCCATTTATAAATACATATCCACCTATTTTGGCTTTGTCATACATTATTATACAGGTTTTCAGTAATGGTGAAGGAAATGAGGTTTAGATGATGTAAAAGGAAATGGGTGTGGTACTCCATGTTTTCCGTGTTTTGAAAATGTTAGCTCCATATTTATGCCCTGGTTTTACTTCTCCTAGTATGTGGTATATCTTTATGTCATAGTCATTTTTACACTTCACTTTGTAATAGTCTCAACAAAACCAAAGCACTTTAGTTGATAAGTAGTTGATAGAACTTACTCAATATCGATTTGGAATTGTGTCTTACTGGTAACACCTTTTTAATAAGTCCTGTACAGTCTGGAGGGATACAACATACAGAATTTATACAGAAGTGTATCTACAATGTTAACTTGCACAGTACTAAAAATCCACCCTGATGCTTTTTTAACTAGCCAATGTAAAATGCAGTAGTAAAGTTTCCTTCAAAGACAGATCTATGGAAGCAGATTCAGCTGCCCATTTATTTATGTAAAAAAAACAAAAAAACAAAGTTCAAGGGGGAAAGTCTCCAGCAACAGTTTTTGGGGGCATTTGGTGCTTTCTTGTTCAAGCTAATGTAAAGTTCTGACATTAAAAATGATGCGCTTGGATTTTTAAAACAAAAACTGATACAAGGCAGTAGATTTATGTACCCTTCTTAAGGTTTAGTTTTTAAACTAGGGTCTATAGATTAAACTGTCACAAAATTATTTTCTCAGGAGAATTTTATATCACTCGCCATTCAAATCTCTCTGAAATTCATGTTACTTTTCACCTGTGTGTGGATGAAAATGTGAGATCAGGTAATATTACTGCCCGGGATCCTGCAATCATGGGCCTCCGGAATATCCTCAAAGTATGCTGTGCACGTGACATTACTACAGTCAGTATTCCTCTCCTTCTGGTTCATACAATGTCTGAGGTAAGCAATCATCACTTTATTTTTTTTTAAATAGCCTTCTTTGCTTGTTTAAAAATATTGTTGGTTCTGCCACTCCAGATCAGAGGTAGAGAACCGTTTTGGGCATGAACAAATTTAATTCATTAAAAAGTTTCCTGTGTGACTCCACAAATTGTCATGCAGAGTAAAATGTTGGGAGCACCACTCCATTCTGGATTATCACTTTTTTTGTACCCACCCCACACTTGCAGTTTTCCTGCCCCTAAATCTGTTTTAAGTGTGTGAAGCTATATTACTGTAATATTATTTTAATATTGTTTGGGGAAATGTCACCTGCTGAAAAAGGGTTTTGGGGGAAACATACCACCTACCAAGACTCTGTTGTCCCCAGGACCCCACTGAAGTCACTTTTCAGCAATGTTAAAATATGTAGAGTGATCTGCCTAAAAATCTATTGAGGGGAATGGCAGGAGAGAAGCCAACCCTTCAACATGGTCTCTCAATGCATGTGACACAGCAGTGATTCCTACGATGAAAATATTATTTGACAACTGAAGTTCCTCCATCTCTTTTGGCATTTGGTAGTGCTATCCCATTTTCTTGTTGCCAGATAATTACCTGGCCTCCTTCAGGTGGGGATGTGGGTAATGTACTTCTGCGTGAGAGAAAAAGGGGAGTACAAGTGTTTTGTGCAATCCCTAGAAAACAAAAAGATACTGGCAATATCAGATCCTGTACAAAATTCAATTTGTACAATAAAATGTATGATTGACAGCAAGTGATTTTAGCTATGCATATTTATTTTATTTTATGTGCACTTTACATTTCTACCAAAATTGTTCTCAAGGTAGCATAAAGGACCAATTAAAAATATATCAATTATAGGTAAGATATTAAAAACAACAACTAACACACTGGACCAACTTACACACAAAAGTCTTCTATAATAAAACTACCTTTGTCTACGAGCCAAATATCAACAAAGAAAAAGTAAACCTTGCCTCCATCAGGAGGGAGTTCCATAGCCTGAGGGCATTAGTCAACAAATGAACCACACCTGAAAACAGATTGTTAGCCAATGAAGTTGTAGCATAGGGGTTATGTACTCCTAATGGCTGCTGCATTGTGAGCCAGCTGAAATTTCTGAACAACTTAAAAAAGTAGTTCCATGTAAATCATAGTAGTCCAAATGGAATGTAACTAAGGCAAGCATGACTGCGGCCAGATTAAATGTCTCTGAATGTCTCTAATATACCCAGACTGCAAGCCTGAGTCTTCAGAGAGAATGTAATACTACCCAACACTAACTGAATCCACTGTTCCTGATCTGCCTTTTGACTGACCAACAGCACTTCTGTTTGGTCTGGATTCAGCTTCAATTTATTTGCCCTCATTCAATCTATTACTGACATCAAACACTGATTTAGAATCAGAGCAGCTTCCTTGAATTTAGATTAAAAGGAGAGATAGAATTGGATTTCATTAATATCCTGGCAACTTCAAACTCCAGGCAGTCTCTCATATTGGTTTCATATATATTATAAATATCATGAGAAATAAAATGAAATCCTGAGAGATGCCACAAGCCAATGACCTTGGAGTCAAACATAAATCCCCCAGCATTACCATCTGAAATCACCCCTCCAAATACTGGTGCCACTAGTGCCTCCTAATCTCGGATGCTTCAGAAGGATACCATGGCTGATGGTATCAAAAGCCTCTGAAAGGTCCAGAACAGCAGGGACACATCTCTGTCTAATTCCCAGCATAGACTGTTCATTAAGGTGACCAAAGCAGTCTCTGTGCAATAACCAGGCCTGAAGCCAGATTGAAATAGATCTTGAATAGATTCAGAAATCACTGAGCTAAGATGCTACTACATAAAGAAGCTCTAAAAGAAGTTACCAAAAATGGAATAGTAAAGACAAGCCATAAATTATACAATACAGTGGGGTTCAGGGGGAATTATATTTTTTAACTCTCACCACTGCCTACTTTAGGTAAGGTGGAACCATACCTTGCCATGAAGAGGCAATCACCACTGCCTTTACCCACTCAGTCAATACATCACCACCCCAGCTGCTTTTTTAAGCCGTCTAGCATCCAGGTGGCAAGCCTCACTTGCTCAAAAATCCTGTCTGTAGAAATTGAACAGTATCTTTATTACTGAACAAGCAGGAGACAAAGTTACATCTGGACCCACATTCGTGAATGATGCCAGTGATGTGTAGAATGGATACATAAAGTGTCATGCAAATTGGTCTAAGTGGGCTATTGAGTGGTCTCTTTCTTTGTGTACCAGAGGGTAACAGGCCCCTGAACACACGGGAAAAATCTGTGGTGCAACTCTGAGCAGACACAAAGGTGGCAGCGAGGTACAGTTTCTTCACTGCTGTCATTGTCATGGAGTAGGCGTTCAGTAGAGCTCCAGTCTCATGTTTGCTCAGACTTATATTGTGATTTCTGCCAACATTGCTTTAGCTCCATCACTTATGCTGTCCTGGAAAGCAAAGTGGCTTAGGTGGCTCTGCTCCATGGGAGAGGACACTCAGGAGTTATTAGGTCAATCGCTAGGCCATGTCTTCCTTCCACCCAAGGCACTGAGAGAATTACCTGCCAGGGTGAAAGAAAAATCTTCAAGAGCTGTTAGAAAACCATCCAAATCCATCAGTTTTCTGGGACAGGCCAGCTTTATTGCTTCCTGTGTCCCAGCAGAGCCTCTGAGTCCAAACTCCACAAGGAAGTGTTTGGCCATGATAGTGGAACTATAGAAATTTCCTCCAGCCTGCGATCACCACAGAGACCCAGTGTGGTGGTTAGAGTGTTGGACTGGCGACCTCAGTGATCTGAAGTTCTAGTCTGAGCCATAAAGCTCACAGGGTTACTTTGGGCCAGTAGCGAACTCTCTGTAAGAATAAAACAGAGCTCTGTAAGCCACCTTGAGTTCCTTACAAGAGGAAAAATGTTGGGAGGATGATGATGATTCTCATCCTACACAGAAAACAAGATCTAAATTGTGTCCTTCCAAGTGAATGAGCCATAGTGGGGCAGAACCATAGAAGTCAGAGCAAGGTCATGAAGTCAGAGCAAGGTAGCCTCAGTATGTAATATTGAAATCAACCAACCAGAGTCTCCAGTACCAACCCCAAGAGCTAGTTTGGCTAGCTCAGGAGATGATCAAATTAGTAGGGCAAGCAATGCACCAAAAGAATCTGTATTCTGTTCCAAGCTCTCATTTTCAGATATACATGTTCAGAACTAGGCAACTGTAAGATGAGTTGTCTGGACAAGGATATAGAATCATAATATTCATTCTAAGTGCCTCCCTGCCCCTCAGCCTGTTTCTGCTGCAAAAGTCTCATCCAGCCAGGTTTATGTAGGTTTGGTTGGCATGTTCATCCAGGATCAAGACCTGAGTGGCAGCTGTTTTCCTGTTCTCCAGTATGGCATTCAGCAGCAGTACCTTCAACCCAGAGGGCTTGTCACCTGGGCTACTTAGGCTGTCTGGTATGGGAGATAGCATGGGAGCAACCAATATCTTGTTGCACTCCCCTTTCCCATAATGATCCAGCTATCTCCTACAAAATGTATAGGTATAAATTGATTTTATACCATGCTTCTCTACCAGAAAATGGCATTTTTCCAATGGCCAGTCATAATATCCATCCACCTTTCTGTCACTTTTTAAAATACATTTGTTCCACTGAGAGAGAAAAAAATGTAATCCTAATACCACTATACCATTTCATGAAGGCAGATGTGCAATTCCTCCCCTCTTTCCAACATATTAGAGGGCTTTTGCCCTTGCTCACCCCTGCAGTGGTGACTCCCTTTAGTGTCAGGCCTGCTCCCAGGCTGTCCAGTATTTTATAGACCAGCCTCCAGGAACCAGAGCAATTACTTTTAGCTGGCAAAATCTCTTGGAAAGGCTGCAAAGTTGGGCTGTAGTCCTGAGATGAGGCAGCATTTTCTGACCCCAGAAAATCTCTCTGGGACTGTCTCAGCCAGAAGGTATCTTACATTGCAATCCTATACACATCTCTTCAGAAATAAGTTCAAGAGGATTTACTCCAGGTTCAGGTGTACAGGATCATAGTCTTAGTTGGTAAAATGTGCTCACCTTGGAAAAGGGAGAGTCACCCTTGGACTGCAGAAGAAAAAGGAAATGCACTTTGACCTCTACCATCAGCTAAGGGCAAAAGGGCCACTGGGTATGGTTCCATTTATCAACTGCAAGGAGCTTGCAGTAAACAAATAACAAAATCAATTTAAACAGATAAACTTAAAATCTTGCATTCCACTCACGAGAACTGTTGGGAGTTAAGGACACTGTCTGCCAACAGAGAAAGGTAATTGAAAGACTTGAATGATTTGATATTAAGACAACTTTACAAACTAGATAGTGATAGTGTGTGAATATTTCATAGTTTCTTATAATTTGTTAAAAGAGGTGATTGGTGTAATGTGGGTAATGTTGGGGAGAGTGACCATCTACTCTTAGTTTTATCCCTACATTTGGCAAACTGTATTATACACACACATTATGATTGGTTGTGAGCAGAGTAGATCGGTTGTAAGTAAAAATATGCTGCACACATAGAAGGTGCCTACTATATTAAACAAAGCAACATCTGAGATAATATATTTGGAAAGTAGTCTTTGCCTTCATGATGACATGCTAAATAGCAGCAGCAGTGGCAGGAATATTTCAAGATGTGACTGCCTCTCTACAAAATTATTTGAAATTTAAAAATGGAATAGGAGAACCTTTTCCACCTAGTAGGGATAAAAGCTGGTATGATCAAGATTATATTGCCTTGAAATGCTCTTTAGTGGAAAAATATAGATGGTATAGAGAAGTGAACCTCTCTGTATTGCCTGAGAAGTAGTTTCTGCATCAAAGTAGATTTTGTATTTTTTTGATTGATTGATTTCTGATCGACCCCACTAGCCATACAGCTCCCTGGGTGGGTTACAACAGCAAAATACAGAATAAAATACAGACTAAAATATAAAACAACAATTACACATAAAACATTAAAAAGCCTTAATTAAAGAGAAAAAGATATAAGCCCCAAATAAAGCATGAAAGCTCTTAATAGAGGCATCAAGGGATGGTGGCTCTGGAATTTTTTGGATAGTTATTTCAAGGGGCTTCTTATTCCTTCTAAAGTATGGGAATCCCATGTCAACACTGTTTATGTGATTGGCCAATTCTCGTCTCATTTTTTGTTGGCTACTATTAACAGTAACTTGATTAGCCTCCTGTATCTATCTCTACAACTGATTATCCAGAATTTAAAGCAGGGTAAAGCACCAGGATCAGATAATATCTCATTGCTGCTGATAACCAACGGAGTACCACAGGTACCTGTTTTGACATCCCTGTTTACTTATATTGACTTTTCAGTACATTTCCCAGAGGACTGTGAGCTGGTGTTTAATTATCCCAATATACAGAAAAGAAAAAAGATTAGACCCCCTCAAATTACAGACCTGCCAGTATCTTAAGCATGATTAGTAAATTATATGTAAGCCATCTCTATAACTTGGTTAAGTGCTGGATTAAGAAACAATTTTAGAAGACAAACAGGCAGGATTTCTATCTGGGCAATCTACTGCTGACCAGGTCCTCCAACATTTCATTGAAAAATACTCAATAAATGTTGGAGGTGCTCTTTATTTCAGGTTTCAGCCATTTTTAAATTGGCTTCTGACCTAATTTTAAGATAGAGATTATGGGAAAAGATTGAGGATACAAACATTGATGAATCCATCTTAATTATCATATGTAGTTTATAAGAGAATACATCTACCTAAGCAAATTCCAATTTAAAATGGAATAAAGCAAGGTTGCATACTTGCCTCAACTTTATTTAATTTTTACATCAACTCATTAAATAAAAGTTTGGAGGAAGTATATTCCCATCCCCACAAATGAGTGAACAAGCCCTTGTCAGTATTCATATATGCCAATGATGTGGTGCTATATTTCTTGACAAGCATAACTTTAAGACTTCTTTTAAAAACCCTTAAACCTTCATTGTGAAAACAAACTACTATGGATCACACCAAGTCTAAGGTCATTTTTTTTCTACAAGAAGGTTAAGGCATAAATGGCAGATTAACCTTCCACTCTTCTGGAACATGGATGGAGTTCACAAACTAAAAGTGCTACTGAGAGTGGTTTGTTAAGTGCTAATCCTTTCCTCTGGTTCCTTTACATGAAAGGAAGCTAATATATCTCTTCAGTCATCCAGGTATTCAATGCAGAGATTATCTCTCACTTGTTATATGGATCTTAGTTGTGTGAATATAAAAGTTTTGCCCATTTTGAAGTAGGTTTTTTTCCTGGCAGTGTTGGGAGTCCCAAGTTGTGTTTCTAATGAATTTGTTCACATGAAGGTAGACAAAATCTTGGTTGAGGCCCACACATGGATTCTTAAGATTTGTTATTGACTAAAGCTGATTTCCCCTCCCCACAAGTTGGCTTAGACCTACTGGTCTACTACTAAAACTTGCCACACTAGATGGAAACTCATGCTATATGAAAATTGCAAGATTTTGACATTTCTCCAAGTGTCCTAGTGGCTCTTAGCTATGTAAAAGCTAAAATAATAATCTTGCAGTTTGTTTGTTTATAACTTTTATATGCTGTCCTTTATGTATGCCATCTCAGCATGGCTTACAACAGTTTGGGATATGGAGCTACAGTACAGTTTGAGTTTGCCCACAATGTAATCTTTATTCAGTAACAGTGGAAGGACATATGTTTATGCAAAATATCTGGCTGATTTGGATATTTTCACAGTTAGGAAGTCCAGGTTTAATGTATTGCCTTCAGCTCTACTTAATAGTAGTTTGAATAGTTTGAAGCACACCCTATCTCAAATTGTTGTATCTATCCCTCTGGGATGGGAGCAGTGAAAGTGGTGGACAATGTTCTGTGTGATGTGAAGGCTAACAAGGCCAGCACAATTCTAGGCTGAATTAATAGACAGTAATAGTATCAAGTTTGGGCTGATATCATGCAGGGTACTGCATTTGGCTTTGGGCAATGTAGTTTAAGATGGTATTTTTTTAAAAAACTGGAATGTGTCCAACAAAGATAGTAAAAGGCCTAGAGATCCAGTTCTGTGAGAGAAAGGGTTTGTTTGTCCTACAAAAGAGAAAATTAAGAGTTGTTATGGTAGACATCCTCAAATATAATGAAGGGCTGCCACATAAACGTTTTACTGCTCCAGAGGGTAGGGCCCAACTAATGGGTTCAAATTAAAAGAAAATGGATTTCTGCTCAGGAACAACATCTTGATGGCCCCAACTGTTTTAACAGTAGAATTGAGCTAACAATATCATTCCAACCACCCCCAATTATGTATATAATATAAAGTGAAAATAAGACTGGTCAGTTTGAATCCATTAACGTGAAAAAGTGCTTGTATTTTGGGATATACATCCTTTTAGAATCTTGTCTGTGTTCTGAGTTACATCATTTAAATGCTTCTCAAGGAGAGAGGTGTATGAAAACACATGCATATGGATAGTTCACTCAAGTATGTACAAATTTATTTTTTTCAACTATTCTGATCAATCTATGATTGCATGCATGATATGGCAGCAAAGTAGACACCCCAAAAGGTGAGCAATGTAGCAAGGGCACATAGAGCACCAAGGGCAGGCAGAATTGCTGGGTGGCTTGTTAAAAACTCTAGGAAGTTGCACAAAGGAAACCTCCCAGTAGTTAAGTTGCTTTGATGAGGGCTGGAGTAAACTGAGGGATTCTGATCCTCTGCCTCCAGTCCTCAGCCCTCTTTTTTTGGACTCCAGATACTTAAAGGCCAACCATTAGACAAATGCTTCTGCTTTACTCCATGGCCTCCTGTTTGACATGTGGAATGCATTAAATTTCTCTGACTCAAGGGAAGACACCCACAAGGATCCTCACTCTAGTTCTTTGGATCATGATGCTACAGGATGTGGTTCACCATGTTCCTGCCAGACTCAGATTCAGTGATAATCAGTTTCAGTTTGAGAGACCTGCCTGATCCAGTTGCTCAGCTAGTGGCACTGATTGGCCAGCTCCAGTGGCAGGGCCATGACAATAAAACCCAGCTGCATGTCTGATTTGAGTTCATTGAAACATGCTGCTTGATGTGGTATACACTTTGTCTGTAATGCTTGATGCACAAATCACCACTTGATGCTTGATGTCCTGAGCTACTCAATACAGGACATTTTTGTTTCTGTAATGCTAACTTAGTAAATCCCTCAAGGTGCAAAAGTCCTGGGTCATGATGTTGCTCTTGAGAAGATTAATTTAGTGGGTTTACATTCTGTCCTGTCTTTTGTTAAGAGGATTATTTTTATTCTTAAAACACCTCAAATGACCAGGTTACACAATTTCATCCAAAATTGTCATCATCCAGATGTTCCATCCTGTTTCTTCCATAAATTCCTTTTATGGTATAAGCTATTGACCTCATTGACTACTAAATGTGTTGGTAATTTGCCTTTGGAGCAGCATGGTTTTCCTTTTTAGAGACTGTTTTTTATCTTTGCCAAGGCACAGATAAAAACCACTAGCAAACGCCTACTTTGAATGTGAGCAAGAGAGTGTGTAGGCAGATAAATTACAATGGTGATCTAGTATTTCTTCCGTTAAGTCTTAAAAGAAAAAACCTCTATATTCTTTTTTTTTTCAGCACTGTTTTTCTGTTTCATATATTATATAACTTACATGCAGAACTAACAGTTTGCATCATGAGAAACTGATTTAACTGTTTTCCAGTTTACAAGATGTTCTGTGGTTTCATCTTTCATCTGTATTTTATAAATTCACTGAAGCTACAACACATAGAGATCATAATTTTTTCTGTCTTTGTAAGAACGTATCAGGGGGATGTTACCAAACAATGAGTATGAAATATAATATTCACTCAAATATATATCTTGATCAACAAAATGATGTCTCAAATATTAAAACAATTGCCAAAGCAAAATATGGCAAGAGAGAAGCAGGCATTGGTAAAACCAGTAAAATCCAGCAACAGACCAACAATATCAGCAGGCTGAAGACTTACTTTAAACAAAAAAAGCCCGCTCGCAGAAGGCCAAAACAGTGGGAAGGGGGGATTGATGAGCATCCCAAGGCCAGGAGTTCGAAAGCTCAGTCACTGAAAGAGATTTTTCTTTCATCACCAATAAATTAGCACATAAAAGGGTCTCATCTTAAGATCTTAAAATCTGGGCAGGTTAACAGCACAGTCCTGTGTCCATTTCCTGAGGTAAACCTCAGTGAAAATAAATAGGACTTCTGCATAAATATGTATAGCTTTGTACTGTAAGACAGAATATTTCTTTAGCAAGTACAAAAGAACCCAAAGCTGATTTTTCAGGTGTCATCTGATAGCAACTATCTGGAATGACTGTGTAATTGACTTTATTCTTGGAATATGGGAAGGCAACCCATCAAGGAAATAGCAAACTTAAACATAATTGCACTTGATAGACGAAACAAGATGTTTAATTCAATATTGTTTTGTTAATACTCAATAAGTGTTTAGTAGTTCTGTACTCCACAATACAATGAAGTGCTGAATGAATACAGTGTAACTGAAGGGGGGGAGTTACTCATAGTTTTATTACTGCAAGTCACTTCCAACATCTTGTAATAGGATATTTAAATTTTTTCTCATATTTAATCTTTTTTTTTTAAGGAAATGACTATATCTTGGTGTCTCAAACGAGCAGAGCTTGTATTTAAGTGTGTCAAAGGTTAGTAGATCTATCACATTTTTCCCTTTTTCAACCTCCCATCCAAAAAAAGTCCAAAATAAAACCAAAAATAGAAAACCTCTTTGTTTTTCCACTCTGTTCCATCTTACCTTTTCTATGAATATCTTCTCTCATTTCTTTCACCTCTCTCTTTGCTTTTCCAATGGCATTGAAGGTGCCATTCCTCAAGTGTGTGTGGTGCAAAGCTAAGCTACCTCCAACTGATGGGCACACTTTGTCTGATGTGCTTGGCTGAAGGTCATATCCTAGATCAGTGCCCACACAGCTAGGCCTTTATGAAACAGACCCACAAACACTGTACAGGCCATCTCCATGCAGAGCTCGGTAAGAAGTCCCTCTGCCTGGTTGATACCACAGGTGCTTCTTAGCTCTCCCACCCATAGATGGCTGTTTCCACAGCTTCACAAAGGTCCGTGCTTTCAGCCTCTGTTACTGCCCCATCTGTAGCTCCATCGCCTCCTCAGAGAAGCTCTAGAATGTGAAAAAGTTGGCCAAGAGGCAAGACCAGATAAACTTTTTGGTTACCAGATCTAAGCAATGCTGAATGGACTCTCAACCAGACCTCTTGGAACCAACAATTCATGAGATGGGAGGTCACCAGTGGGGGAAGACTGACCCACTGAGCAACTCTTACAGTGTCTTGGGCAAACTCCACTGTCACTGGAGCCACCACAACAGAGGTACTCCCCTAGCACACCCCCATCCCAAAAGACACAGTGTCCAACTGCAGCTCTATATTGCACAACAGGCAAAGGCCACAATAAAGATGGCTAACGCTGCTGCCATTTATTCCACTAGGCCAAATAATCCTACTTGTACTTTCAAGTCCTGTGTGAAGCTAGCACAAACCTCTGGTGCAGTATGGAGAGGGGAAATTGCAACAACTGCGATAAAGCATCCACACAGAAAAAATGGGCAGAGAGAGCCCCCTCGTGATGGTGGCTGTAATAACGGCAAGTTGTTCATTCTTTTTACTGACATGAACTCGCTCTATGAATGCAAGCAACTGGCCCTCTTAGAGGAAAAACTGAGGGCCTGGTTATGCTCTAACTGACCAAAACAACCAATGTGATACTAGAGGGGCAACATTGATCTAAAGCTAAGAACTCTGTGGGAAAAGAAAAAGAGAAGAAAACAACCTGGGAAGAAAGGCATTCACCAGCAAAGAGATTAGAAGAGACACTACAACTGAGGAAGTAGCAAAAATCTCAAACTGCTTTCAGATACTTGAGACACAAGAATAGCCAGCAATGGAAAAACTGCTAAATACACTGAGAAACCCTGAAAAGGAGACTGAAGAACAACCAAATATGAGAGAGACTACCCAGACCAAAGGCAACAAAATAGGAAATACGTATTCCAAGCTTGCAGCAATAATGAACCAAGAAATGCTACCCAAACTTTTAGCAACAAAAATAAGAGCAAAGTGCTAGTTGTGGGAGACTCTTATTGCAAGGAATGGAAGACTATGTTGACACAGGAAAAAGCCAGGCATGCTATCTTTCTGGAGCCAAGGTCAATGACACTTGTCTACAAGGAAAAAGCCTTGGAGATGAAAGTAGCTAAATTTTACCAGAATTTGGTCACTAATAAAGGAAAATTAAGTATTAATTGGCTCCAGTTTCCAAGATACAGCTTCAGGTCAAAATTGCATCAAAATAATTCAAAATTATGAGGGGGATGTGAGATTATGCTCCATAACTTTTTTGCAAAATGTGATATAGCAATGAGAATGGTCATTTAGCTCACTCTGTGAAATTAGATGTGGTTCAGGAGTGGGCTTAAGTTTAGGTCCACTGACATTGATGGCTCCAGATCAGCTGCATCTTGCTCATCGTCTTTATCATAATCGGAGTCTAGAGAGTAGGATTCTGGTGGATCTGGAACTGGCAAGTCTTCACCGTGGGGTACAGGACGCAGTGTGGATGGAATGTAGTGGTTAATGTAATGGAAAGCCAGTGTGGTGTAGTGGTTAAGAGCACGGGACTGGGACTCAAAGGATCTGGGTTCTAGTCCCCACTCAGCCATGGAGCCAACTGGGTGACTTTGGCCAGTCAAAGACTCTCAGCCCAGCCTACCTCACAGGGTTGTTGTTGTGGGGATAAGATGGAGGAGGAGAATGATGTATGCTGCCTTGAGCCCTTTGTAGGAAAAAGGCAGGATATAATCGCAATATAAATAAAATAAATAAATGTTTGAATATTGCACAGTCCATTTCTTCTTTCTTGAGATCCCTTTTGCAACTGGGGGAACCAGGCAAAAATAGCAGTCACTACTATGATTGGGGGGTTCCCTCCACACCATTGGGACTGTGAAAGGCATGGACTTTTACTTCTTGTTTAACCAATGATGCAGATAAGTTGCACATGTAATGCAACAATAATGAGGGGCCCAACTCTTATCCTGATCCCCTATTTTGCATCCAAAGTATAGGTGGTATGCCTTTTTTACCACTGCTGTCATTCTGCACTTTTGAGATGCAAATGTAACCTCGCCACAAATGTAGCAGAAGTTATTTGCATTGTTTATACAGTTTTGAGGCATCTTGGCATCTGAGGGAAAATATCTTGCAACTGTTCCTTGGAAATGTTCCTTGGAAACTGGAAAGCCACCAGATATAACTGTATGATGCATAGATCTGACCAAGACAAATGTACCTTACAATAAAAGAACAATAAATTATAGTTGAGTAATAATCTTTAGTCCCAAAGTGAAGATAAATTTATACACTTCCATGTGGTACCATTTTCATTGTTCTACTGTACTTTGTAGGGAAGTTATGCGGCATCATGATCATCAGGCACCTCCCTCCCTTGTAGGCAAATATACTTGCCTGTGTATAAATATTTATTGTGAAATACCTTAAAAACTTTAGCCAACCAGCACCTTTATTACCTGTTTTCTAATTCATCTAATCGAAATATGTAAGAATTAGCACATTTTATCTCGGAGGTTGATAATCTCCCAAAATTTGTAGACCATTGTTGATATAACCAACAGATGCATGGGATTCATACAACCCACTGTTGAGTACCCATTCCTTCCCGCCACATTGCACTGATGACTCATGTTTACGACAATTCAGTATGGTCTGATACAGAGTCTGCTCTCAATTTTCAGTTTGACACCAATGTGAATGCCCTATTTTTTATAGTGCAGGGTATGAATACCAGCATTGGACAGAATGACAAAATAAGGGAGAAATTGGGTCTAACTCCTGAACTTTGTTCTTCCTCCCAAGAAGTTTTAAAGACTTGGAGATTAACAAAACTGGTCAATCCCTCTTCTCCCTTAAAGTTCTGCTTACACATATGTAATGGAACAGCTAGGGATCTGAATTCATAGCAATACATGTACATGGGCCCAAAGGGTATCAGTGTCATAGATTGGATCCTGTTCCAATCAGCTGTTCCTTATTATGAGAACTTGGTAATCCTCACCAGACCAAAGAGTGATAATATGTCTATACAACTTCTATTATCTCTTTTCACTGGTCCAATTTTTTCCTCAACAGTTCTAATAGAGAATTTGCTGGCTCAAGGTGATAAAAAAATTACACTGGAATGGGAAGCTTCAGGAAGAAATAACCTTATTTTTAATGTCTCCCAAAATGTTAGGTCTAAGGGATCCATTTTTGTTGTCCTTGGACTCCTTGGAAATCTATAATAGCTTAGTTCACACAATTCGGCCTTTTGTAGTCTCTGTCAAAGCCACCCATTGAATTAAGTCTTCAAAAACAGGATGGTTTGATGCTTTATGTCCCACACACCTTAGCCAAAGCAATAACGAAAATGAGATATGAGGATATGCCAAAAATTCAACATTTATATATGTATCTGTGGATGGTATAAAATTAATACAATTAAAAAAGAGTGAATGAACACAACATTTATGGATGGAGGTGAGTTTGGCATCTTTAAAAAAGAATTTATCCAGATTCTGGGCTTTGGTAGCAGCTGGGACAAGAGTTTATAACAACTCTTTTGATAAATCAGGTCTTCACAGTGGTATGATAATTTTTTCCCACTCCTTAATTATATTTCCCCTGGGGATCACCACAATTTATCTTGTCAGTGCCAGTTCATTGGTGCTTTCCTTTTACCATGAATAGGCCCCTGTCTCTCCAGATGAAATAGTCACCTCGATTAGCTCTCTCCCCTCAAAAAAAAAAAAAAAAAAAAAAAAGTCTACAGTGAGGATATGTTACCAGGAGAATTAAAGCAAATCCTGAGTGCTGTTGCCCAGTCCTTGCCTCAATTTTTACAAATATAAACTATCATGTCAGAGTACCACAAGGCTGGGGAGTTAATATTGTGGTCCCTATTCATAAAAAAGGTTCAAAAGCTGGCCCAATCTCTTTACTTATTGTGGTCTGCAAATTATATTCCAAATATCTATTGTTCAAATTAGAGCCATGAACTAAGGAAACTTTAATTATTGCAGGGGAACAGGCAGCCCTACATTAGATCAGTGTTTTGTCCTTCATCACCTAATTCTAAAATATACTCAAAAGTGGGGAAAGAAGTTATTTGCTTCTTTTGTAGGCCTCAGCTCTGCCTCTTTACCTTATAGAGAGCAAGTTTATATGGGAAAAGCTAATTGCTACAAACGTTGCTAGATGGCTGCTTTTCTTAACACAATTGCTTCACTCTAGTACAGGGGTCTCAAACTCAACTTACGTGGGGGCTGCTGGAAGTAGAGTCTGGGTGAGGCTGGGCCGCATCAAGTATTCCACCACCGCGGGGGTGGTGGGCCGCTCATCCCGCGTCGCCCCCGGAGGCGCTTTGAAGGCCTCAGGGCCCCTCCCCCGTGCCCCGCCCGTCCTGGTGTGCAGCTTAGAGGGAACATTGCGCCCAGGGTAACGACTCACGCAGGTGCGTGTGAGAAAAATGCGCGGGCCGCACTATCACTAAACTTTGATATCAAGTGGGGGCCACAAAATATCCCATGGGCCGCAATTGGCCCACGGGCTGCGAGTTTGAGACCCCTGCTCTAGTACCTTTCTCAGGGTTATACTGGGGACAAATGGACTCCTTTCAGAAAATGTACCAACTAAAATACGTGTCCATCAGGGTTGCCTTTTGGCCCTTTTTCTTTTCAATTTTTATATCAATAGCATTGTTGAAATGCTGAGAGACCTGGAAATTTTTTCTGTGTCAATCTTGACCGTTGCATTCTCAATTCTCTTATAAGCTGACAATATTGTTATCTCTAATGCACTGGTTGCACTGAAGAGGCTCCTGAGTAAATTGAGTGAATTTTGTGCAAGTAAACATTTAATAATTAACCATATAAAAACAAAAGTAGTCATCTTTGGGGAAAAAATCTCTGGAAATTGGACAATATCCCCATCAAGCAACAGCACAATTTTGAATACCTAGGCCTTGGATTTAATACGCATCTCTCATGGACCCTCATTTGAAGGCTTACAAATTGAAGTGCTCACCCTCTACATCTTTGAATGCCATTTTTTAAAACATCAGGATCATGGCTGGGTTGAACCAGCAATCAAGATATTTTTGTAGAAGATACTTTTGCAATTTCGCTGTGGTGCAAAATATAGGGATATATTAATTTGTGTTCCTTAGAAATATTTCAAAAATCTTTGAGTTTTCTCCTAGCCATTCTTAAAGGTGCACCTGCCCATCTCTTATCAACTGAAACAGGAATCCTGTCATTAGAAGCACACATTCACACAACTCTCATTCTATTTTGGCTGAAGTTATACACAGTGAAGAACTCACTTCTGCAAAAAAAAATGTTTAATAGAACAGCCACAAACTCCAACCCAAAGTTTCTGGGCCAATCTCATAAGTCCCATTCTACATACTATGAGATAAGTACAAACATTTTGCCTTCTGTTTGTACAAATACTGTCAAATATTTGTTAACAGATCCAGCTATACTCATTGACAGGATATGTATCGTATCTCTCAAATGTCATACTCAAATTGGTACCTGTTATATAAAACACCTTTTGCCTTTTGAGCAATATTTCTCAGTTCTTACTGTCATTGCTTTAAGACCCTATACAGTCCTGCAATTCCAGTGTATGTCTTCCACCTATTTGCATGAGTGTTGCAACAACATTCCAATTCATCAAAATCTCTGTTTGTGTGAGTTGGGTGAAGTTGAGGATATTGAACATTATTTACTTAACTGTTCACTGTATGACGGAGCCAAGGTACAGATTTTTTCAGCACATCCTCAATTCTTTACAAAATAGACTTTTACTAGACAAGATTTGTACACTCCTTGCAGGTAACCCATGTTGCTACGCTCACCCTGGCACCCAGGAAAATAAGGGATAGGTAACATTTAGTAATTTTATACTATTTTCTATGGATATGATTAGTTTTACTCATTTTACAATTATGTGATTTTATGTTGGATTGTTTTATCTATTATATTTTTATTATATTTTATCAGACCTCTTTCTATTTCCCTTTTTATAATACTTTTTATTTGAATTTATTACACATTATTTTTTATATTTGTGGTGTTGTTATGAAATTGTTATGTAATTTTATTGTATCTTACTGTTCTTTTCTTTTACATTTCTGATGGCCTATTGCTATAAACAAAGATATTCTGCCATGGACATAACTTATCTAGACTTTAGCAAAGCATTCCCCCATGACAACCTGATGGATGAACTAGCAAAATATGGGCTCGGCATAATTACTGTTAGGTGGATTCGCAACTGGCTATAAAATTGGTTACAAAGAGTGCTCATCAACAGCACCTTCTCAAGCTGGAGAGATTATCTATATGAGTAAATCCAGGGAATGATAACACAAAACTGGACAAAATAGCTAACACCCTGGAAGACAAAAAGATCCAAGGTGACATAGACAAGCTAGAACACTGGGAAGAAAGCAACAGAATGAATCCAACAGAGACAAATTCCTAGTTCTCCCCCTAGGGGGGGAAAACCCCAAATGCAATATGGGGAATATTTGGCTTAACAGCACTGAAAAAGACCTTGCAGTGGTTGTAGACAGCAACCTAGAAATGAGCCAATGCAATGCTGCTGCAAACGAGTCAAACACTATTTT